TTATTTAGCTATCTTCCATGTTAAATGTCCTCGATAATTGAACAAAGTAACTGAAATATGAGCTCACCAACATTTTTTTTTTTTTTTTGGTCCCGAGCCTAAGAAACTTTAATTATCAATTTTTCCACACCATTTTCTCAAGTGCCACAATTCATGTAAAGAGTTTTTACACACACACACACATATATATATATATATAATTCGAAAAGGAAAAAAGTGAGGTGTCAATATGGTATGAATAGTGCATTTGAGTCATTGTCACTCTTTTAGGGTCTGGTCATTCTGGCTCTATCAAATTAAGAAATGGCCTGTGGGCCTAAGAAGATGTGCATTTCGACATCCAATTCTTCTTTTCTCTGAACTGAACTGCAGCTAAGTCTACAATTCTTCCTCCATTTCATACAATTATTTCAAAAAAAGAAAAAATTTCGACCACCCTTTATATCTTCTTGAAGATTTCTCGCTGAGTGTAATGTTGTTATATTGGCAAACATATATACAGAGGATATATGATGTGAGTCATATCACAAAATTTTGTGTGTAACGTTGTTATATTGGCAAATATATACGTGATATGTGTTTGGAACTTTACTTGAGTGTTATATCGTATTCAACGAATTTCAATTTTTGAATGATAAGGCTATCACTATGAGAATATTTTTTTCTTACCTTTAGGAATGCTACCAATTAAGCCAGATTGGTAGAAAAGAAAAGGAAAAAAAAAATTTTAAAAAAATGGAGGGATATAGCTTTTCTTATAAAATTTTGAAAATGAAAGAAAGGAAATAGAGTGGAATGATTTGAAAGGATACATTAAAACATTATTAGATGGTTTTGTTATCCTCCCAAAAGATGGAGCAAAGGGAAGGATTAAACTTTTTTAACACCAAATTTATCCTTATTTTTATAAAAGACAAACTCTATAAAAAAAAAAATATGATATAATAAAATAATTTTTTTTTTTCTTTTCCCAACTATGATCGAACTTATTCTTCACTGTAATCATGAGTGCTGACATTTTTAACTTAACATCAAGATTAATGGTAAGAAATGAGATATTAATTGAATATGGTGTATCAAAATTTGAGTCTATCTTCACTGAACGTTGAGACTATAGGGCATGTGCCATGCATGTTTGGGACCAAGTTGGTTTCAACCTAAAAAAAAATATTTTCCTGACATGACGGAGACCGTCAATGTCTTAAATTATACATTTATAATTATATCAATCATATACGATGGAATCAAATGGTGACCTATTTCAACTCTGAAAAATATATATACTACTGTTGATACCTTTTTTTAGTAAATTTTGTATTAATGATATGGCAATTAATTTGGATATAAATTGACACGCGGAAAAAGTTACAAAACTACATTCAGAGGCAAAAGAGATTGAACCATTTAAATTATTTAATGGATAGGGATTATAATTTTAGTATTTATCTTTTATTTGATGTAAGTTATATATTTATGTTTATCTTTAGGATTAGTTTATTTTAAACTTATAGTTAGTTGGGTTATCTATAGGATTAGTTTATTTTGAATTTATTGTTAGTTGTGATAGAGTTGTAATGTAACTAAAATGTTTTATGTGTAGGATTTTGTTAATATTTTATTCTATAAATAATCAAGGAGGCATGCTAAGATAAAGGTCCAGCACCCTCAAAATCATTTTATTATTATTGTTACTTTTTCAAGCACTTTCCCCAAATAGCATATCCTTGCTATCTCTATCTCTCTCTCTTTCTATTTCAGTCTCGTTCTATTTCTCTCCCTATATCTCTGTCTCTCTATCTCTTCTCCTTATCACTTTCTATATCTATATTTTCTCCCCTTTCTAGTCTCATATTATTACTATATATTATTCACTGATAAAATCCTTTTAATTAAGGCAATTCTACTTCAAAGATGAGTTATATTTGTTCTCTTTCTCCTCGCATCGCCTGATAGTCAATATTCTCAAAAAGACTGCAGTTGACAACTTACACTCAAACCATATAATTGGTTTTAGCACGCCCACACTACATCAATTCAGAATCGGATCTAAAGAGCCGATTTCAGCATCAACATTTTTGGTACGCCCGATGGGACCCCCACTAGGTGAGTGATTTATCCTAAAATATGCAGTCAGCTTCTCAACAGACATACAAATATTCTGATCAGTAAAATCAGTCGGTGTACCAATATTCTAATCAGCTATATGGTTGGCTAAACAATTATCAGCAACCAGTCGCTGATTATTGGCATGTTCCAGCAGGTGATTATCGGCATATTCCAGCAATCGATTATGGCATGTTCCAACAGCCGCCGATTATCAGCATGTTCCAACAACTGATTATCGGCATGTTCCAGTCGCCGATTATCGGCATGTTCCAATAGCAACCGATTATCGGCATGTTCCAGCAATCGATTATCGCCATGTTCCAACAGCCACCGATTATTGGCATGTTCTAGCAGCCGATAATCGGCATGACCGATTATCGGCATGTTCCAGTAACCGATTATCGGCATGTTCCAATAGCCGCCGATTATAAGTACGTTCCAGTAGCCGATTATCGGCATGTTCCAGCAGCCGATTATCGGCAGATGGTAAATCAACAAATGGAAGAAATAAGATCCCAACTAAATCTCCAAATGGGAGAATTTAAGGAGGCATTTGCCAATTATCGGCAAGAGAATCAGGAGATTAAAGCAATGATGGTTCAGGTTTTAGCCCTAATCCAGGCCGAAGTAGTTTAACAAGGTCCACCAGAACTACCAGCAGCTGCCGAGGGGCATGTGATTGCAAACCCCCAACAAAAGTTAGTTAATTCATACCCTCTACTTCAGCCAGCTAATTATAGTGAGGTCATGTTAGCCAATCAATGAATTTTTGGGCGTAATACAGTCCTGCCGATTGAGCTGAATGTAAAATTGGCTGAGGCAAAATCAGCTGAAAGGAAATCAGCTGAGAAAACTCCTTGTTGGCACAATTTCATTCATCTAATATAACTAATAGGCAGGTCAGCTAGAATGACGCTTCACAATAATTTAATTTCTGCAGATCATAGTCATGATTTGCTAGCGAAGTTGGAAAATGCATGGAGGGCAAGTCCTTCATTGGTTAGGCTGACAATATCGGTAAACTGTCTGAAAATCTAGGAAAAAAGCTAAATCGGCAAATTTGGCTAATATGAAATAAAGGTCATCTTAGAGGTGATTCAGAAGAAATAAAGCTTTGGAGCTCGTTGACTTGCAATCTGATTCCAAGTGACTAGCGCAACCTTTGTTCAAAATTTCCTTCCAATGTACTTTAAATTTCAAATATCTTATCGGTTTGAGCGGCCGACAGTCGATAAGACATTTAAAATTGGAGGGCATTGTTGACACCATTTTTGGTAAATTTTGTATTAATGACATGGCAACCAATTTAGGTATAAATTGACACGTGGAAAAGGTTACAAAAGATACATTCAGAGGCAAAAGAGATTGAACCATTTGAATTATTTAATGGATAGGGATTATAATTTTAGTATTTATCTTTTATTTGATGTAAGTTATATATTTATGTTTATCTTTAGAATTAGTTTATTTTAAACTTATAGTTAGTTGGGTTATCTATAGGATTAGTTTATTTTGAATTTATAGTTAGTTGTGATAGAGTTGTAATGTAACTAGAATGCTTATGTGTAGGATTTTTTGTTAACATTTTATTCTATAAATAATCAAGGAGGCATGCTGAGATAGAGGTCCTACACCCTCAGAATCATTTTATTATTATTGTTACTTTCTCAAATATTTTCCCTAAATAGCATCATTGCTATCTCTATCTCTCTCCCTCTCTATTTCAGTCTCGTTCTATTTCTCTCCCTATATCTTTGTCTCTTTATCTCTTCTCCCTATCACTTTATATATCTATATTTTCTCCCCTTTCTATTCTCATATTATTATTATATATTATTCACTGATAAAGTCCTTTTAATTAAGGTAATTCGAACTCAAAGAGGAGTTATATTTATTCTCTTTCTCCTCGCATCACCTGATAATCAATATTCTCAAAGAGACTGCAGTTGACAACTCAAACTCGAACCATACAACTGGTTCTGGCACGCCCGTATCACATCAATTTAAGATCAAATCTAAGGAGCCGATTTTAGCGTCAACAACTAGGACATAGAAGGAGAAAATGACAATTCATGATGAAAATAACTACATTTTTTAAATGATAAATGGCTAACTATTTTAGAAGAGAAAGAAAGAGAGAAAATTGCAGGGGGACCATTTTCTAACTGTAGTTAGTCGGATTGCTAGCAGACAGGGGGAAGCCACTTATTGCAAGTTCTATAGGGCCAATTTATTGTTACTTTGCTACAAGGGTTAGTTGATATATTAATATTCAGTCCTTAGTAATTTAAAAGTTGGGCTGCTTATTTATCAGCCCAATTTGAACACATTGGGTTAATTTTTCTTACTAAATAATAAAAGTAACGTAACCCGCCCCGCAAGTAAACGAAGTTCGAGGGGCGAAGTCGGTACATTGTCTACAGGAGTAGGGACAGAAATGGCATACCAATTACAAACCCGCCCCGGAATAAGGGTGGAGTTGAACCCTACTCAGAGAACGGGAATAGCAAACCGCCTTTAATTTTGAGTCTCAAAATCTGTTTGGTTGGAAATTTTTCTAGCAATGTAGTTTACGCGACCTCCATACTACCAACAATTATTTGGGGGTTCAAAACTTTGATCATGTGAATGTACTTTGGTTTCAGTTGGATTAGATAAGAAAATTACAACAAAATCAAAATTTGAAATTCATACGAATTTGTATTTCATACTCTAGATTTGAGTATCTTGATACATTATACAAAGAAAAAGGGACATGATAAATCTATAAGCCAGATTTTAACCAGTCAGTCAATTGATGAAAGAAACATATTTTTTTCATTTTGATTTTTGATTTTCAAATATAGCTATAGGAAGCACCAAGAAAAACTTTAAAATTTCATTCCTAGCTTATTTCAAGTGCCATTGTCTTTCTTGATCCACTGCTTGACTGGTTTTCTTGAGTTTCGTACTCTGTGTTTCCTCATGCCCGAGTTTCTCTGCCCACTGGTGCTAGGCCTATTCATGGAACCGCTTAAATTTGTTCCGGAGTTCACTGCTAGATCTTGGTCTTGCTCCGTGGCTTCTTTGTCCGACACAGTTGTGGGAGGTGCAATTGGCTGGGGAAGAAACATACCCGGCAACAATACTTCATTTCTTTTGGGTTCAATTAAGCCACTGTTCTCTTGCTGTATTTTTAATATGGCCTCAAATTTCTGTCTTCTAATGTTCTCTGAATCACATTGAAGCAGCCTGTCGTCATCATTGACATCGGTTCCATTGGAACTCTAGAAAACCAAAATGAAAAATGTTATTAGCATCAATAAATATAGTTTAATTTTTTATTTAAAAAAAAAAAATCCTTGGTATCTGAAATATTTACGTAACAAATTTTGAGAAGTAACAAACTCGATATGGGTGGCGTGGGGAAGGGAGGGATTCCTTTCTACTTGTAGGTGTCACATAGTGCCTGTAATACCCCTAATTTTAAAAAGGATTGGTATTTAATTTATTATTTAAGTGCATTTTATTTGATTATGTGTCATTATTTTTTTTATTAAGTGCTTAATTATTTTCTTTTGTGGTGATTTAATTTATTTAAATGATATTTATTTTTAGTTATTTGATTGGAATTACTTGTTAGTGTTTTAATTATTTAATTGGCATTAATGGTTTAAGTGTAATTGATTTAGTTATTTGATTGGAATTACTTATTAGTATTTTAATTATTTAATTGGAATTAATGGTTTAAGTGTAATTGGTTTAATTATTCTATGTGTGTCTTATTTTATGTGTGTCTTATTTGGTTTAATTGGGTTTACTAATTATTATTTTGTTCAATTAGATTATTTATTAAGTATTTAATGGTGAATAGGGTAATTAGGTAAATACATCTAACAAGGGTTTTAATTACAGTATAAATTAGGGTTTTATATTATAGCCGTCGTAGGTTTCTACGTTAATTGGATGGGCCGGTTAGGATTATGTGTTGGATTTAAATGAACCTAGGGTTTAGGAAAACTCTATAAGTATAAGGTAGACGTCTGTGTAGGGTTTTTTTAAACAAAGCACACGTTTTGTGGAAGTGGGAAGGAAAAACACAGTTTTTCAAATTCTGCCAAGGTTTGATCAAAGCTCTGATCCCGCTTCGTCCGTGGTCCGATCGAGCTGAATTTTGGAGGAGAGGTTCACGACTCAGTGATGCACAATCTGAACGGTAGAGATCAGAGTTTGACCTCGGGAACAGTGATTCGTACTCATGAATAGTAACTGGGTCGCACAGGTTTATTTTCCATTCTGCCCAGATTTCATCAAACATCCGATCCCGCTTCGTCCGTTGTCCGATCGGGCTGAAATTTGGAGGATAGGTTCATGAATCAGTGTCGCACAATCTGAACTGTGAAGATCAGATTTTGAGTTCGGGAATAGTGTTTCGTACCCCTGAACAGTAACCGGGTTTTGGAACTCGCCGGGATTTTTTAAGAAAACGATGTTGAAACTTTGAACAAAAGTTTCTGAGGCAAGATTCTATCCTTACTCTTTCCCTTAGGCTTCATACTCTTTGCACTCTTAAATGATTCCAGGATTAATGAAGATTAAACCAAACTAAAATGATATCTGTTTTGCTATGAAACTGGTAGTTACAGTAGTGTTGTATGCTTGTTCAACCTTGACTAAGCATGTTTGTGGATGCATTGTGGTTCTGTGGTTCACGTTTTTCCTTACCACTGCTAGTATAAATTATTGGAAGGATGGGTCTAGATGATAGCTATCTTAACTTCTGTAATAGCAACTGTTGGAACTTAAATACTAGGAGGATTTGAGTTTAACACTAGATCGGTTTTGTGGAACACTATAATTTGAGCATGTCTACATACATACTGTGAATATTGTTTTGATGCTTACATTATCACAGTTAGTATCAACTGTGGAGGTTAAGATTTTGTGATATATACCCTACATATCTATATGTCATTTGTAAGGTGTTAAATGGAAGTTTTAATTAATTCTGTCTTTATATCAGACTAAAGGGAACAACTTCAATTGGGCATGTATATGTTGTTATTGTGACCCTGTTTATCAATGCTTATTTTATCACTGCTAACATTGAATGTTGGATGTTGGAATTTAGTTGATATATACTTGATTTATTGGTATTATTGACTACTGGAGGATTGGAAAGTAGGCACCGGTATGGGACGGTGGCATACTAAGGATGGGTTTGGTTTTTAAAACAATACCATTACCCACCTACTTGGAATAAGGATGGGATTAACTAAAAGTTAAGTCCCGTGGATTTGTATTGTCATGGCAACTACTTGTTGAGCGGCAATACCAGGGATTTTGGATGAATTTTATATATGTACTGTTATGGTGTCTCGGTATGAGCTTGAGCCTCAGGACCGATGTCTAGGGAGCGTATATGCATCGGGATGTGTAGCTGGCTACGATGGTTGGAGGTGTACCCTGTTTAGGTATAGGTACATATGCCCACTTCGTGTGCGTTTTAGCATGTTACCTCTATTCAGGTTGAGACCGGTCTGTAGTCCAGTGAGAGTCCTTTAGTGTGACTATATATATATTTACGGACTATCAGCTATTGTTGAATTGTTTAGGATGTACATGCGTATCGGGCCTCTGTTTGGATTGTAGTAGTATAGAACTTGCGCGTGGGCCTGACCCACTTCTATTTTTCAGGTACACGACAGTTCCAGGCTTAGACGTGTTCGTGCTGAGCAGAGGTCTCCATTCACTATCCGACGATGTAGGGCTCTCTCTATAGTTTTATTTCTGGACGTTTATTACAGTTGTTCTATCTTCCGTTTGGATGTTTAATAGGGGTCCACTAGAGATGGATTCCCAAGTTGTAAACTAATGGAGTTTTGGAGTTTGGGTTTGATGGATTTTAATAATTATTATATTTTGCGGATTCTATTTTTAGTTCCTTCCAGCTTTAATTTCATTTCTTAATTTATCTTGTATTCCGTGTTCATTATAAAATATTAATTATTTGATATTCCTTCGGGTTTGGGCCTGGGCCTGATCAACCCGTGTCTCGGATCCGAGGGGTATTACAGTTGGTATCAGAGCACTCCAGGTTCAAGTGTCTCTAGGATGTTTTCGTATTAAGTCTTCCGCGTAGCATTTTCTCTTGAATAGAGCTTAAGTTAGGATTCATTGTATTCCTTATGGTTCGTATAGAAAGGGTACTGACGTCTGTCTTTTCGTGTTAACAGATGGTTAACGCTAGAAATGGACCGAACATGCAAGGAACTAGGAAGGAAAGGAGAACGGCACGTAGGCAACAATATCTCCTACGGCGTCAGCAAATGGAGGAAGAGCAGCAAAGACTTGGGTTTCAAGATGACATGGATCAGTTTCAGGAGGAACAGGAAAATGTTCAACAGACTCTGGACCAGGTCAGAGATCCAGAGATTCCTCCTCACCTCAATGACCTCGTTGCTCGGGCTATAGAGGCTGGAGTAACAGCTGCACTTTGGAATCAGCCTCAGGTACAGCCGGCACCTGTACCAGCACCAGTGGTTCAGACGGATTCTTGGGGAAAGGCTAGGAGCTCTTTCACAAAGGGGAGTCCACCTGTGTTCTCAGGCTCAACCGATGCGAGAGCAGCTCACCAGTGGAAACAGGACATTGAGCGTCATCTTCGTTTGGTTCAGTGCACGGAGGTTCAGAAGCAGATACTTGCTACTTTCAAGCTAGTTGGGGATGCACTACAGTGGTGGGAGTCAGTTACCACCTCAGAGGAGAGGATGACATTGTCTTATGAGGAGTTCAGTGCTCGCTTTGATGAGAAATATTTTCCCTATGCAGTCAGGGCAGCTATGAAGACCGAGTTTCTAAGTCTGCAGCAGGGAAACATGACAGTGGCGGAGTATGAGCAGCAGTTCACACGCTTGTCTCTCTTTGCACCGGAGGAGGTGGATACAGAGGAGAAGAAGCGCAACAGTTTTGTCAAGGGACTGATGTGGTCTATCAAGAGAGCTATTACAGGTAGTCCAGCCTATACTACCAATGCTCAGGTGGTAGACGCAGCTCTACAACAGTATCAGTTGACTGTGGATATCAAACAGGCTCGTGGTGAGAAGCGGGGAGATAAAGACTCTATTAATCAGTCAGCTGAAAAGGGGAATGGCAATGGTCACCAGCAGAATGACAAAGGCAAGTTCCAAGAACAACAGCCTTGGAATAAGCACAAAGGTGGTTCAGATGCTCACCGGAATGGGACACCTACTCAGAGGCAACAGAATGGGGGACCACAGGCAGGACAGGGTCAGCCACAGGCTAACAGACAGAGGAGGCCATTTGGTACTTTCCAGGGTAGTTGTTACACTTGTGGAGAGTATGGTCATACCACCAGGCAGTGTCCTAAAGCATGACAAGGACAAGGACAGAGACAGTATATGCAGCAGGGACAGAGGGCGCCAGTGCCTCTACCAGCTCCACAGGTTCCACGGATTCAGGGACAGACACATCTGGCTTTACTGGCACCGCCGCAGACTCAGGGACAGGCACCACAGTAGTTGCACTATGGCAGGGTGTATAACCCCATAACACAGGATGTTCAGGCACCTCAGACTATTGAGGGTAAGTTTCTAATTCATGGTTTGCATGGACGTGTTTTATTTGATACGGGTGCTACACACTCATTTGTAGTTAGGACTTTTGTTGCTTTGTCTGGGATGAGGATGAGGGTATGCACTAGACCTTAGGGTATTTCTACACCATTGGGTGATACAGCTATTATACATGAGAGTGATGGGCCTGTGACACTAGATATTGGCAGACTCAGATTTCTAACCAATTTATTGGTCCTGGACATGCACACTTATGATGTGATACTTGGGATGGATTGGTTGTCTCACTACTATGCCCAAGTTGTTTGTTTTGATAGATCTATTATTTTTACCATACCTGGTCAGGATATGTATATAGTAGCTATGCCACGTTCTAAAGGGGGCGGTAGCACCTATTTATTCCATGTGGAGGAGGAAAATGAGGAGGGGATTACTGTGTCATTGGATAACATACCGATTGTACAGGATTTCCCGGATGTATTTCAGGAGATTCCAGGGTTGCCACCTAGTCGCGAGATCGATTTTGTGATAGACTTAGCTCCAGGCACTGCGCCTATTGCTAGGGTACCCTATAGGATGGCACCGGTAGAGATAAGAGAGCTGAGGGATCAGATTCAACAGTTACTCAGCCAGGGTTTTATTCGTAGGAGTACATCACTTTGGGGAGCACCGGTTCTGTTTGTAAAGAAGAA